TTTTAATGAAAAAGCACATACACACCATAGCTTTAAATTTTGCGCTTTGGAAAAAATAGTACCCAGACCTAATGCAGATACAAAAAAACTCCTTCTGCAAAGGGAATCTTTTTGGATCTTCAAACTACAAACACTGGTTCCTCTAGGACTAAATGATAAAATTGAATACACTTGTTTCTTGTGAGATGTAATTCTACTTAAGAGACAGCCCAGCTATGACTCACTGCTCGTTACAGAACTCCTACTACAACAGAGCCTGTATTACTGAAGAGAATGTAAGTAGAGTAGCGTGTATCTTTACTGTTATTACAAAATGTTTTTCTAATCAATGTTATTTTGGGGAGTTTCATGTATCTATGTTGTATGTTATTTCTACTCCTTATTTAGTGCACTAAGCATAATAAGATACAGACTACACCCTGAGGAAGATATTGTTCGAAACAAGGATAAACATACCGGAAGACCTTGTTGAGATTTTGTTGCCTATGAAAGACCTTGTTGCCCAAGAAGAATTCCTTGAGACTGTCTTATCAAAAGAAGAATTTTTTTTGAAGATAAAGATAGAGACTCTGGAATTTCTTCACTGAAAGGATGGACTCTATTACCTTTAGTCTGTTGTTGATTTCTCTATGTTAATGTGCTGATAACATTTATTTAATGCTATAAAGTCTCAGACAAGTTATGCCAATAGAGAACATAGAATACTGTTGTATATTACTTTCTTGAGAGTCTGTTAAGATTTACATACATACATTTTTGTTCTATGTCATTATAGATACTTGTGCATTGTCCTTATTTCTCATGCCAGTAAGGTAATGCTCAAGATCTTGCAAGGAAGACTCCAGCAATACATGGAGCGAGAGTTGCCAGATGTTCAAGCTGGGTTTAGAAAAGGCGGAGGAACGAGAGACCAGATTGCCAATATCCGCTGGATAATGGAGAAAGGCAGGGAGTTTCAGAAAAACATCTACTTCTGCTTCATTGACTATTCTAAAGCCTTTGACTGTGTGGATCATAATAAATTGTGGCAAGTTCCTGGTGGGATGGGCATACCAAGCCACCTTGTCTCTCTCCTGAGGAATCTGTACAAGGACCAAGTAGCAACAGTAAGAACTGACCACGGAACAACAGACTGGTTCAAGATTGGAAAAGCGTACGGCAAGGCTGCATACTCTCACCCAACCTTTTTAACTTGTATGCAGAACACATCATGCGATGTGCGGGGCTTGATGAATGCAAAGCTGGGGTAAAAATTGCTGAAAGAAACATTAACAACCTTAGATATGCAGATGATACCACTTTGATGGCCGAAAGTGAGGAGGATCTGAGGAGCCTTCTCACCAAGGTGAAAGAAGAAAGGGCAAAATCTGGGTTGCAGTTAAACATCAAAAAGCCCAAGATTCTGGCAACAAGAATGATTGACAACTGGAAAATAGAGGGAGAAACCGTGGAGGCCGTGACAGACTTTGTATTTCTAGGGGCAAAGATTACTGCAGATGCAGACTGTAGCCAGGAAATCAGAAGACGCTTACTTCTTGGGAGGAGAGCAATGTCCAATCTCGATAAAATAGTGAAGAGTAGAGACATCAGACTGGCAACAAAGATCCGCCTAGTCAGAGCCATGGTATTCCCTGTAGTCACCTACGGATGTGAGAGCTGGACCTTAGGGAAGGCTGAGCGAAGGAAGATCGATGCTTTTGAGCTGTGGTGTTGGAGGAAAGTTCTGAGAGTGCCTTGGACTGCGAGAAGATCCAACCAGTCCATCCTCCAGGAAATAAAGCCCGACTGCTCACTGGAGGGAAAGATACTAGAGACAAAGTTGAAGTACTTTGGCCACATCATGAGGAGACAGGAAAGCCTAGAGAAGACAATTATGCTGGGGAAAGTGGGAGGCAAAAGGAAGAGGGGCCGACCAAGGGCAAGATGGATGGATGGCATCCTTGAAGTGACTGGACTGACCTTGAGGGAGCTGGGGGTGGTAACGGCCGACAGGGAGCTCTGGCGTAGGCTGGTCCATGAGGTCACGAAGAGTCGGAGACGACTGAACGAATGAACAACAACACTTCATTGAAGCTAATGGCAGCTTAGTGCATCTATTTCAAAGCAAGTAAAACATCAAGCGGGGTCGCCCAGGTGCAGAGATGCTACTCTTATTACAGCCAGTCACATTGGCAGTTGAAGTCAAGGCTTGTCTGGCTTAGCTTCCCAACTGGAAAGTCCAACCAGAGAGGCAGCAGGATACTTTTTAAACTGCTTTCCAGAGGCACCTGCTGGCCAAGGCAAGACAAGAGCAACAACCCCTTCTCACCTACTTTCCCACTGGATGGCATTGACCAAAAGGGAGTACAAAGAGCCAGCGACAACGAGCTCTATCTATCCTCCTTGCTGGAGAAAGCAGGAATGGCTGTAGAAAAGGACTGGCCTTCTGCCCACTTCGTGGAACTTTAAAAACATACATCTAACCCTCCTTTATACATAATCCCTGTTTTAGGAAAGGTAATTGTAGGGTGATTCTGGAGCTGAGTGGCAGAGGCCAAAGACAGCAAACTGGCCAACTGCAATGCCTCTGGAAAAGAAACCTTGCATAACACAACTTAAGAGAGTAACTGGTAAACCTTACAATGTTTTGGCGACAGTCACAAAAATTACACCGGACCAAGTATTTTTAATACCAGCAAAGGAATGAATTTTGCTCTCACAAAAAGGTCGTAATTTAAGATTTTGAGGCCGGGTGCTTTTTGAAATAAGACTATTGGCGGCCTGCCCAAAACGGTCCTCAGCTGCAGAGATTGGAGACAGACATCCCCATTCTAGGGCCACGAATGACCACGAGAGAGAGAGGGGGGGGGAGAAACAGGGCAGGACCTACAACCCTGGCGATCAATGGGGTGACAGATGTCGCAGCCAGATCACCCTCACAAACTTAGACTTACTTTTCTACTACTGAAAAACAAGGAAACCGGAAGAAAAGAAACAGACTGGAAAGACGTAATCGAATACTTAAGGGGAAAGAAGAAAGAGACAATGATATAGAGGAGAAAGGAGAAATCAAGGATGAAAACCAAAGAAGAGGGAAAAGAAATTTAGAAGAGAAGAAAAATAAAGAACTAATCTTTTTTTTTATCTTCTACTTTAGGATAAGATTAAACAAAATGAACAGAAGATTTTCGGAAGACACCAGGAGGTCGAGATACTCCTACTTTCAGGCTTTTTATTTTAATTTTTTTCTTTTTTTTTTTTTCTTTTTTTCTTTCTCCCCCCCTCCCTTTCCCCATCTTTTCTATTTCTTCCCCACCTCTACACTTAACCCCTCACCCCCCCCCCCCATATATATATATATATATATATATATATATATATATATACACACACACACACACACACACACACACACACACACACACACACACACATACATACTGCTTTAGTGATATTCAGTATACCGAAGTACTATAAGCATACTTGTATGTAAAAACCTCAATAAAGATTATTAAAAAAAAAGAAAGAAACAGGGCAGGACCTGAAACACAATTCTATGAAGGAAAGCAACAGGGCCCACTAGAGCAGTGTTTCTCAACCTTCCTCCTCCTGTAGTTCCCCATGTTGTGGTGACCCCCAACCATAAAATTGTTTCCGTTGCTACTTCATAACTGGAATTTTGCTACTGTTCTGAATCGTCATGTAAATATCTGATATGCAGGATGGATTTTTGTTCACTGGACCAAATTTGGCCCAAATACCCAATACGCCCACATTTGAATACTAGTGGGGTTGTGGGCTGATTGAATCTGTCATTTGGGAATTGTAGTTGCTGGAATGTATAGTTAGCCTACAATCAAAGAGCATTCTGAACTCCACCAATGATAGAATTGACCCAACTCTGCACACAGAACTCCCATGACCAACAGAAAACCCTGGAAGGGTTGGGTGGGCATTGGCCTTGAGTTTTGGAGTTGTAGTTCACCTACATCCAGAGAGCATTGTGGACTCAAACAATGATGGATCTGGACAAAACTTGGCACGAATACTCAATATGGCCAAATGTGAACACTGGTGGAGTTTGGGGAATATCAACCATGACATTTGGGAGTTGTAGTTGCTGGTATTTATAGTTCACCTGCAATCAAAGAGCATTCGGAACCCCAACAATGATAGAATTGGGCCAAACTTCCCATGACCAACAGAAAATACTATGTTTTCTGATGGTCTTTGGTGACCCCTCTGACACCCCGTGACCCACCCAGGGGTCCCGACCCCCAGGTTGAGAAACACTGCACTAGAGCCTGGCCTCTTTTTGCAATGTGAAATGCCACATGAGTTCATGACTATTGGGATATTCAGCCAGTGGCCTTTAGTTCTTTTGTTTAAAACAAGCACTGAGCCACGAAGACTAGAGTTGTGCACAAACGTGTTTTTCCTTAAGGAAGATGGGCCGGAGGCCCCTCTTTCTTTACTTTCCCCTCTCCCCGTCTCTTAGGGTCCAAGTAGAGGTTCTTATTCAACGTCCTTGGGCCTTCCTGCTCAGGCACAGAAATCATAAATGGTTTAAAACACTGGGCTGGAAGACAACATTGCATCAAAAGAACTAAAGTACTGTAGAAGCCCCTTTTCTTTAAGGAAGATGGGTAACCTATAAAGGGCTGGAGTGTTTCTTTCTTTACTTTTTCCTTTCTCCATCTCTCAGGGTCCAAGCAGGGATTCCTTAGGCCTTCCTGCTCGGATTGATGAGAACTAGGGATATCATGCAGTGACAAAATCTGGGCCAGAAACTCCCTGAACCCAGAAATTTTCTCACTAAAGGCTGAAAACAAGCAGTCAAACTGCCTCCATTGAGAGAGGGCTCTTTTCAAGAACGCCCGTCTCAAGGAAACAGCCTCTGCAAACCAAACCTTGCTGTAGTAGGGAAAAAGAGATATGGAGAGGAGGAGGAGGAGGAGGAGGAAGAGGAAGAGGAGAGCCTTACTCTTCTTGTCCGCTGAAACACCGCAAGAGCGCATTACCTTTGTCATCCCTGGATGCAGTCTTGCTGTCTTTGGATTCCTTTGAAGAGCTAAAAGGATGAACAAATAAAAGGAAACTGAGCACACGGAGCTTGCCTGTCGAGAAACTTACGCTATTAAGCCATTATGTCATTTCAAGAACAAAAATAAAAGGACCAGAAGGAAACAAAAGCAGGGGGAGGAAGAAGGGCTGGACTCTTATTGGAGGAAAGGGGCTTTCCCATCATCATGGCGTCTTGCACTGATTTTTTTTTTCCCCAGGAGGCCCGTAGATCTAGGTTTTCTGACAATTTTTTTTAATTCAGTGGATCTATGGCAATCTTCTCCACATTTCAGGGCTGGGACTTGGCTTCATTTTGGTGGTTCTTAGAAACTGAGAGAGTTGTTCATTACCATCACAAGGGCACTTAAAACTTGACTATTTGGAAAAAAAAATAAAAAACAAAAAACGCTGTCAATTCAGTCAAAGCAGGACAAAGCATAGTATACGAAGATCCTGATTGTATGTTTTTTAAATATATATATATATTTATATATAAACACCACAGGTAACTTATGGCCATCAAAACATTTCTACAGGCAGGAGCATAGGAGACCAATTACAGGCTTCTGGCCGCTACCCGCTCAGAGAGATGCCTTATGGGATGCTGGCAGTACCTTAAAGAACGGACATAGAAAGACCAACCTCTTTGCTTGCCCAGAGGCCCCCGAAGACGAGGGACCTTTCTTCAAAGGCTCCTTGTCTTTGTCTCCAGATTCTGCCTTCTTCGCGCTTTCTCTGGCTTCCTTCTTGACAGGGTCCCCTTTGGCGCCAGGGTCTTCCTTCTTACCATCTTTATGGTTCTCGGTCATCTCATAGTCTTGGCCTTCCTCCTTCTCCAGGTTCGGCGCAATGGCATCCTGCCTGTCTTGCGGCTTGCTTGCTTCTGAATCTGTAACTTTCAGATTTTTACCTGTTTCAAGGAGGTCATCCCCATCAAAATCCAGAGTGATGGCGTCTTCGGCCTGGATTGTGACCGAAATGTTATCATCCTCGGCTTCTTTCACAGAGATGTGAGCATCCATCTCTTCGTGAGCCTCAGGGAGGCTCTCTTCTGAAGGAAGGAGCTTAGATACTTCTTGTGTACCATCACCAGAACCTGCTTTATCTAGGAGGATTCAACAGGAATAAATATGGCAAAACAAGAAGTTTAAACATTTTTCATAAGCACAAGCTAGACGAGAGGACCTAGAAAATACAAACCGGTTATTAGCACTGACGGAAGGTTAGAGGAAAAAAACATAAGGGGCATTAACACATAAACCAATCCTTTACCCAGGATCACTCATTCTTCACGGGAAACATGTGTTCTTTAGATAAAACACTGAAGATGTTGGACAAGCAGGAATCCACCGAGAAGGCGCCAGTTCTTCAGAACAAGCACCTCTCTTTCGGCACTGCCATTGGGGGCAATGGCGGCGTTGCTTCATGGTCCTCCAGTGAGCGGCAGCTGAAGTCAATGCAGCACACTCTCCATGTACAAGTCTTCCAAGGTGCGTCTGATCATCCAGAGTTCGGTTGCCAAGTCCTTCATGTCCGGCAACGTGTTTGTCTTTGCATCTCCTTCACATCTCTTGCTTGCCAGCTGTGGTGTAGTGAAGCTGTCTTGTCAAGTGTGAACAAAGTCCACGAAGGCCTTGCTGTCTTCATCCATGCTACGTGATCCCTGAAATAGGCCAAGTCTGTCGCTCTCACCCCAAGCGAGTCTCATTCCGACGCTGGAGCCACAGTGTTCCCGTGTCCTTTAGTCCACCACATACAGCGTCCGTGGCATGTTCTCCAAAGGACTTCTTCAAGGGACGCGAGGGGGGATTATGTCACTGATTCCATACTCCTCGATGCCAGGTTCCAAGGCGGGATGGACCAAACTGCTGTTCCAAAGTTCCCGTGAAGCGTGAGGCAGAATTGACAGCAAGGAAGCCTGGTGTGGTACTCCAGAGTCTGAGTAGCTTTTGGATGTGATCTTGCAGAAGATGGCGCCCTTCTCTATAGGCACTTATGGCAGCGCCAAGGAAAGCGAGGCATCTAGACTTAGCAGGCACACAAGATTCAAATCCAAGGAGTTTGGGGTCTTGAGTCCCCTCTCACAGCATTTGGAAGGGTTGTGTGCATACGCAAAACATCCACTGACAGAAGCAACGAGTGCACGCACCATTGGGAGGAGAAAAGGCCGGCTCGAGAGCACATATCCAGCCACTCTCCTTGGCAGAGGCGCCTGCGATGGATTGTGTCTGATTCGGAAAAAAGCTGAGGAACCTGTCACTTACAAAAGGCAACCTGAACACAGAAACACTACTGAACCTAAAACATACCTCTCTCGTTCTCTTCTTCGCCATCCTGTGAATTAAGAGGGGAAAAATCCAATGAGCATCCTGGATGAGAGCTTTCGGAGGAGCAGGCAAACAAACATCAGTTCAAAAGCTTTGCTATTTGAAAGGCCCAAAAGCAATTGGAGAATTGAATAAAGAATTATGGAAAATAGCAATAAATTGACATGTAGGTTAAGAATCAGGAAAGGGGTATGGAAGGAAAACGACTTTGATGAAGTTGGGGAAAATGTACTGAGAATGGCTTAAAAGAAGTAGATGGGAAATTACCTCTACAAGAAGAAATGGTATTTTGGAAAAAGAATGTAAATTGAAGTGGCTCCGCGCGGGGGGGGGGGGGGGGGGGGACGGGGGGGACACTGACAGAGGTGTGTGTGTGTGTGTGTGTGTGTGTATACACACACGCGCGCACATACACACAAGATATATATACACTTATAGTCGATGTAATGAATTAAGGATGGAATATAAGAATATTGAAGGTATTGATGTACTGATGTATTCTAAGAAAACCAATAAAAATATATATTAAAAAAAAGAAAGGCCCAAAAGCAATTAAGTGGTTCCCTGCTAATCAGTTGCCCATCATTCTAAAACTTTGTGACCAAAGGTTCATGCTAGATGTGCACCCAAAGACAGCAGCATCCTTCACTTGAGCTCACACTGAACTTTGCACTAGCGTGCTTCCCCACATCCCAGCTCTTTTCAAAGCCAAAGAACCTCTGCTTCAAGGTAGGTCCACGCTGGCAGGACACCAAGCCCTCACCACACTAAAACAGGTCCAATAATTATCGTAAAGGCATCTCTCCTAGTAAATCAGGGGCAGATGGGACTGCAGCTTCTCCTGAAAAAAACTATGGAATCAGGCCCAAGATACTCGATGCCATGTTTGGTGCAACTGATAGTCACAGGGTCCTATTTCTGCAGGAAGAAGCATTCCCTAGCTCTCTCTAGGAAGGATCGCCAGCTTTCTATTCAAAATCAAGAACATTTAGAAACTCACATGGGTGGTAGTGAAGCCATCCTCTTCCGCATCTTGGACACTGTTGCCCTGAGAGGAGGGAACAAACCAAGGAGAGCTACGTGAGTATGGATGACAAACACTGGTGAATCAGTACTAAGAGAAGGGGGCTGCTTCTATTTACAATTCCTACAGAAGAGTAGCATTTGCTACCAGCTCTGCTGCAGAGGCACAAATCTCCTAAGCAAACTTTCCTGGAAAAGCCTTGCTAGTTCTATAAAACCATTGCTGCTGCTGCTGCTGCTACTGTTATGAGCCTTCAAGTCATTTCTGGGGACTTGAAGGCCAAAATTGTTCAAATGTTTGCCTCTGAGGCTGAGACAATGTGACATGTCCAAAGGTACAGCAGGGACTGGAATCCAGGTCTCCCAGTGCCTTGGCTCAACACTCTAAGCAGCAGCACACTCTGCTAGCTTTTGATGGCTCACAAAGGCTGAAACTCTTCCTGCTTGTTTTGACTTGGAAGGAGAAAGGAGGTCAAGGTTTTAGGGAGAAGCAAATTACAAAAGAGGTCAAAGCAACCTCCCCTCCGTGGAATAAATCCTGCTCCCAGCCCGTTTACCTCCACTGATTCACCACTGTATTCATAGGCAGCACCAGCAGGAGAGGGTGCATGGGAATATCTCAAACCAGCATGGGCCAACTTCGGCCCTCCCTCCAGGTGTGCTGGACTTCAACTTCCACAATTTCTAACAGTCATTAGGCTGTTAGGAATTGTGGGAGTTGAAGTCCAAAACGGAGGGCCAAAACTTGCCCATATCAGGTTTAGACCATCCTTCTTTTTTCTTTCAACGTGGTACACAGGAAAATATTACAATACTCAAAGAGCTGAATTGTGAGAATGAAACCTGAGTGCTAGAAGACACATTGCCCAAAGAATCAGAATAATTAGAACACCTCAGGAATAAAGTGCTGTGACTTGACACTGAATCCAGGAAACCTCTGAGGCCAACTAAAACACCCTTAAGAGTTGCGGCAGATATTTAAGGCTAGCCCTCCTCTCCTGATTAGAATAGGTCTCCCTACCGATGGAAAACTGAGAAAGGCCTTGCTTGAGCGTCTTCAGGCAGAACTGAATTCACAAAGTATGCCTTCTCGGTGTCACATTCTTTAAGGCTTTTAAAAGCATCATCCTCTTCCCTTGGGATCAGAACTGAAATGCTCTTCTCCAAGCTCACAGAAGTCTTAAGAATCAGTGCAATATGGCCCCCATAGTCTAGACCGGTCAGAAAAGGGCATAAGGGATGACTTATTTGCAGTGTCAAGACTAACAGAAAGAAACTTGGTGGACTACGTTTCCAATTTGCAGAGCAAAACTGTGTCAAATTCTGGGCCCCACAATTTAAAAGATATTGACTCTAAGCTGGAAGGTGCCCAAAAGAGGGCAACTAAAGGGATCAAAGGTTGGAGATCACGAATCCCTCTGAGGAGCAGCTTAAAGAGCTGGGTATGTTTAGCCTCAGAAGAGAAGGTAGAGAGAAGGACGCATGAGAGCCATGTAGAAATATGTGAAAGGATGTTATAACAAAGGAAGCAGGCTTGTTTTCCGCTGCCCTGGAGACTAGGACTCAATGGAGTCATGGCTTCAAATGGCAGGAAAGCAGATTCCACATAAAGAAGAACTTCCTGACTGTAAGAAGAGGAGCTGTTCAGGAGTTGAACTCCAGGAGTGGAACTCTCTGCCTGAGTCTGGTGCTCCTTCGAAAGCTTTAAACAGAGGCTGGGTGGCCATCTGTCTGGGGTGCTCTGTGCTTCTCCTGCATGGCAGGGGGCTGGATCGGATGGCCCATGTGGTCTCTTCCAACTCTATTATTCCATGATAAGGAGCCCTCAGTGGCGCAATGGGTTACACCCTTGTGCCAGCAGGACTGAAGACTAACAGGTCAGAGGTTTGAACCCAGGGACAGCATGGATGAACTCCCTCTGTCCGTTCCAGTTCCCCTTTCAGGGACATGAGAGAAGCCTCCCACAAAAATGGTCAAACATCAAAACATCTGGGCGTCCCCCAGGCAACGTCCTTGCAGATAGCCAATCTCACACACCAGAAGCGACTTGCAGTTTCTCAAGTTGCTCCTGATATGAAAAAAAAAGTCTATAATTCTATTAACAGCTCCTGGTCAGCGTGAGACAGGGCAAATATTGGCAGGCAATGTGGAACCAGTGCTGCTCCCTGCACTCTTGCGCAAAGGGGATTTGGTGGGGTACCTGGTCCTGGGAGTCCTTCTCCGCCTGTCCCGGATGGGCCTTCTTTTTCTTGTCCATGGCAGGCGAGATGGCCTTCACGTTCGAGGAGGAGGACTCTTCGTTCTCTGCAAACTCTTCAGAGTCTTTCCCCTCCTCGTTTCCATCTTGATCACTGGCTTCGTGAGCTTCCAATTCACTCTCCTTTCAAAGCGAACAAGAACCAATGGGAAAACTAGTGCATGTCAAAGGCTTTCGAGGCCAGCAATCAAGCCTCCACACCAAATGGAGAAAGAGCTGGCACTTGCACTGAATTCATCCCAGGCTTTTTGTTATGGCTGGTGCAAATTTAGGAATAGCAGCCACCTACAAGGCCAGACTGAACAGCGGGTTATAGTCCCATAAAGTTCTTGTTCAAAAGGATGAGTGACACTCAATTATGTCAGAGGTGCAACTAACCCAAAAGGACCTCCCTCACATATATCTACCTTGGGAATATCATACTAGGAGTAGGAATGCTTCCTGACAGAATTACCTTGGCCAAGGAGTCTTCTTCCACCAAGGCATCACTACTCAGCTCGTCTGTTTCCTGCTTTTTACCTGGGAGACAAGACAAGCCAAGTAGAAGGCTGCATTTATAACCGCTTTCCAAGACGATCGCCTGCCAACCACAAGCCTCAAAACTGCCATCAAGCAGATCAAGAACAAGTGTAAGAGGTTTTCATCAACAAATACCTACACAACAATGTTTAAACACACACAAGAAGCATCATCTGTACCAACCGTATGTTCAGCTCTGTGGTCAGCCATTTCCCAGATGCCTGGGCCAAGACATCCCATGATCACTAGTCACCATGAAGTTAACACGTCTATCATTTAATACTACATGATCAACCCTCAGGCTCAAGGAGATCCCAGCTGAGCATTAGGAAGAACCTCCTAATTGTAAGAGTTTGGGTAAGGTTTGGAGGCTTTTAAGCAGAGGCTGGGTGGCTATCTGTCAAGGGGCAGGAAGGGGCTTTAATGGTGTATGGCAGAAGAAGGTTGGACTAAATGGCTCATGGGGTCTCTTCTGCCCCACTTTCTTCCTTGTCCAGTAAGATGAAAACTATCTATTTTTGTTATCAACTAGCCCTGGGTTTTCAAACAGGACTATTAGTTCTAAAAGTGGGCTTTAACACCTGCCACATTCAAGCCTTGGTTTGGTTTGCTAAAAGTATTGTGAGCCCCATAGTCTATGCAAAATAGACGTGAAACTGGGACCAGATCAGCCCTGTGGTTTTATTGAAGGATCATTCTGTCCTGCAATGACTGTTCCTAAAAAGTGAATCATTACATTTGCAACATGCATATATTTATCATAGAGGCTCTAACCTTTCCCTTTGGTTGGTTTCTTGTTTGGTGTGTCAGCTGCTGCAACTGCTATTTCAATATTATCTGGGTCTCCGCCTTCCTCTTCAAGAGCCTAAAACAAAACAGAAACACCCAAACATCTACATTGAGGGAAACTCAACCTAAACAATAATTGCACTAATAATCATTAGTATAAAATATTATCATGTGAAGGGATTGCTACTAAAAGATTATAATGATTGTTATTAATAGATACACAACCAGATACAGTGAAGACATCTGCCCGTGCACTTGCCTACTCTGCTGCTGAATATGCATGCCCAGTGTGGAACACATCTCATCACACTAAAACAGTAGATGTGGCTCTTAATGAGACATGACGCATTATCACAGGCTGTCTGCGCCCTACACCGCTGGAGAAAGTACAGTCTAGACGGTATTGCACCACCTGAAGTCCACCAGAAAGCAGCCAAAGGACTAAGGCAGTGACACCTCCGGCCCATCTCCTGTTTGGATATCAGGCAGCATACCAACACCTTAAATCAAGAAATAGTTTTCTAAGAGCTACAGAGATACTCGCAGGAACACCTCAGCAAGTGTGAGTCCAAAAGTGGAAGCACAAAACCCAGCACCTCAATCAGTGGGTGAGACCAAATGAGAGACTCCCTCCTGAGCACACAGGAGACTGGGCAACTTGGAAGGCGCTGAACGGACTGCGCTCTGGCACCACAAGGTGCAGAGCCAACCTTAAGAAATGAGGATACAAAGTGGAGTCCACAACATGTGAGTGTGGAGAGGAACAAACCACAGACCACCTATTATCCCATAGTTTTAATAGTGTGTTGTCTTATTGTTAATACTTACGTTATTGTTTTATTGTCTATGTTTGGTTTTAATTGCTTGTACTGTTGTTATTATTGCTTGTATTGTTGTATTTGGGCTCGGCCTCATATAAGCCGCACTGAGTCCCATGGGGAGATAGTAGCGGAGTATAAATAAAGTATTATTATTATTATTATTATTATTATTATTATTATTACAATGCAATCTGAGCCCTGCAATGTGCACAATGGCGGACTTTCCTATAGCAACACCAGAGGCACCCCAAGTGGACAGCTACTTTTCAAAGGACATTTAATAGAATGCCAAATTTTTAAACTTTGTGTTTTCTTAAATACATTGGTTCACTCCTGATACGATAAATAAATAAAGTAAATACATAACAAGATTAGTACACAGCAAACAAGATCACTATGCTGGGTGTTGTATTCAATCACACTACAGACACTTCCCAAGTGTCTAGGACTATGTGATGTATCGGCAAATAATGTGTGCAGATCCAAGCAGGGTGGCTTTTTGCAGCTGATAGGTTATGATTTGGTCAGCTTCAATTGTTTTAAAATGCAGGCCAAGGTCTTTAGGCACTGCACCCCAGTGTGCCGATCACCCCTGGGACCACCTTGACTGGCTTGTACCAGAGTCTTTGCAGTTTGATCTTTAAATCCTCGTATCTTGTAAGCTTTTCCAGTTGCTTCTCATCAATTCTGCTGTTGCCTGGGATAGCAACATTGAAGATTCATGATTTGTTTTCTTCCAGTTGTAAGGCCAGGAGTCTTGTGCTCCAAAACTCTGACAGTCTGTATTTGGAAGCCCCAGAGTAGTTCGACATGTTCATTTTCTGTAACTTTTTCAGGCCTGTGATCCCACCAGTTGTCACAGGCAGATGGTATTGTGGCACAAGTTCCAGTGGATCATCTGCTTGTAGTCCGTCTGTGCGATCTTCTTGCAACAGCGGAGGATGTGATCTATCGTTTTGTCCACTTCCTTGCAGAGTCTACATTTGGAATTTGGATTTTAATTTTCAATTCTGGCTTTGATGCCATTGGTTCTAATGGCTTGCTCTTGGGCTGCAAGTATAAGGCCCTCCATCTCCTTTTTCAAAGTTCTACTTGTGAGCCACATCCATTTTTCCTTCTCCATTTTGCTCTCAATTCTTCCTAGGAACTGCACATGATGGGCCTTCTTTTGTCCATATTCTCTTCTGCTCTGCATTGTATTTTTTACAGTATTCACTCAAGTCTTTTGCACTTAAAGCAGTTTACTACTATTGACTTCCATCAATGTTGGTTCTTGACCGCTTTTCACATAATCTGCCAGTACATGTTTCTCTTCTTCTACCGTTTGTTTCACTTGCAGAAGCCCTCTGCCTCCTGATTTTCTGGGCAGGTAAAGTCTGTTGACATCACTACGTGGGTGTAATGAGTAGTGGATTGGCATCAGGTTTTGGTTTTTTTTTTTTTGCTTTTCTGTCCAGTTTGTCCAGCTCTATTTGTGTCCAATTCACAATCTGAGCCGTGTATCTGGTGACAGAGATGGCCCACGGGTTGATAGCCTTGATCGTATTTCCACCATTTAATTTGCTCTTCAAAACCTTTCTGACCCTTTGGACATATTTTTTGCTGACCACATTTTTCACATGCCCATGTTTGATATTGTCCAACTGAAGTATGCCCAGATATTTATATGCTTCAGGCTGGTTGCATATTATTATTATTATTATTATTATTATTATTATTATTCAGGTTATTATTATTAGCAAAGTCATTATTGTTATGCAGGTTGGGTTTCTCTTTATTGAAATTATTGGTTCCAAAAATTTGGGTTTTGCCTACCAGGGAAGCTTAGGACAGGCCTTTTCCTTCACATAGTATTATTGTTATTATTATTATTACTGTGCAATGTTCAAACTGCTGACAGGCATAATAGCTGATCAAATCCAGGATCACTTGGAGGCAAATAACATCTTGCCAGTAGAACAAAAAGGTAATAAAAGGAGATGCAGGGGCACAAAATAGCAGCTTCTGATTGCAAAACAAACTTCTATACAACTTGGATTGATTACAAAAAGTATTTGACTCACTTCCACATAGCTGAATCAACTAATGTCTGGATGTCATCGGGGTTTTTGGAAATATTAGCAAGTTCACTGAAAATGCAATGAAACAAATGGAAAACTTGAGCTGTTTGTGCGCAACAAAAGCTATGGAACTGTTAAAATCAAGAAAGAAATTTTCCAGGGCAACTCGCTGTCACCACTGTTGTTCATCATTGCAATGATCCCACTGTCAGAAATTCCACAGAAAACAAACTTGAGCTATCAAACAGCAAGAAATTCACCAAAAAATTCCCACTTGCTGCACATGGATGATCTAAAGCTTTATGGAAAATCAGAAACAGAAATCCAGTCACTGACCAACACAGCCAGAATCTTCAGTACTGACAGAGTTTGGCCTAGACAAATGTGCCACAGTGGCATTAAAGAAATGGAAAATTATTCACAACAAGGGCATAGAGATGCCAAATGGACAAACAATAAAACGCAACCAGCCTGAAGCCTATAAATATCTGGGCATACCACAATTGAACAATATCAAGAATGGGCATGTGAAAAAGTGGCTATTTACTTATTTATTTCAAACATTTGTACCCCGCCCTTCTAAAAAAAAACCCCGGGGGGGGGGGGGACGGGGACCTCAGGGCGGCTTACATCCAGCACAATTCGATGCTATTACATATAAATAATGCATACAGTAATACATARAAAAACACAGTAAACTGGTTTTTAAATTAGTTTTAAAATAAAAAGCACATTAATTAAAAGTACAACAATACTGGCTGTCTAGCCTTAAGTAGAAACAAATTCAGTGAGCAGAACACAATTGGAAGCCTGTCCATAGTCCATTTTCCAGAACATTATCATGATTACCATTGTCAATTATCTGCCAGCTACCCAAAAGCCTGGTCCCATAACTACGTTTTCAATTTTCCTTCTGAAAGCGAGGAGGGATGTTGTTGACCTGATTTCGCTGGAGAGCGAGTTCCACAGGCAGGAGCCACCACCGAGAAGGCCTTGTCCCTTGTCCCCGCCAAACATGTTTGCGCCAAAGGCGGGGCCAAGAGAATGGCCTCCCCAGAAGATCTTAAATTTCAAGGTTGAATGTAGAGGGAGATACGTTCGGGCAGGTAAGCTGGGCTGGAGCCGTATAGGGCTTTGTAGGTCAAAACCAGTACTTTGAATTGAGCTTGGAATTGGATCGGCAGCCAGTGGAGCTGACATAACAGAGGGGTGGTATGCTCTCTGTATGACGCTCCAGTGAGTAGTCTAGCTGCCACCCGTTGGTCTAGTTGAAGTTTCCGAGCAAAGGCAGCCCCACGTAGAGTGCGTTGCAGTAATCTATTTGGGATGTGACAAGAGTGTGGACCACCGTGGCTAGATCAGACTTCCCAAGGTACGGGCGCAGCTGGCACATAAGTTATAATTGTGCAAAAGCTCTCCCGGCCACCGCCGAGACCTGGGGTTCCAGGCTCAGCGATGAATCCAGGATCACTCCCAAGCTGTGAACCTGCGTCTTCAGGGGGAGTGTAACCCCATCCAAGACAGGCTGTAACCCTATACCCTGTTCGGCCTTTCGACTGATCAGTAGGACCTCTGTCTTGTCTGGGTTCAATTTCAATTTGTTAGCTCTTATCCAGTCCGACACAGCTGCCAAGCACCGATTCAAGGTCTGAACAGCCTCCTTAGTAACAGGTGGGAAGGAGTGACAGATTTGGACGTCATCTGCATAGAGATAACACCTCATTCCGAAACTCCGGATGATCTCCCCCAGCAGCTTCATGTAGATGTTAAATAACATCGGGGACAGTGCTGAACACTGTGGGACTCCACGAGACAAAGGTTGCGGAGTCGAACAGGTGTCACCCAATAACACCTTCTGGGACCGTTCCTCAAGGAAGGACCGGAACCACTGCAAGACAGTACCTCCAAGTCCCATGCCTACAAGGCATCCCAGAAGGATACCACATAGACAGACTACAAGCAGAGGCATAACATCGTTGCTCAGATGATTCACTGAACTTGTGCCACAATTACCAGCTGCGTGTGACAAAGAACTGGTGGAATCACAAGCCTGAAAAAGTTACTAAAAATGAACACATCAAACTACTCTGGGACTTCCGAATTCAGACTGACAGAGTTTTGGAGCACAAGACTCTTGACCTCACTATCGTGTTAAAAAACAAGGTATGGATCGCCGATGTTGCAATCCCAGGCAACAGCAGGATTGAAGAAAAACCACTAAAAAGGCTGACACAATACGAGGATTTAAAGCTTGAATTGCAAAGACTCTGGCACAAGCCAGTCAAGGGGGTCCCAGTGATGATCGGCACTCTGGGTGCAGTGCCTCAAGACCTTGGCCTGCACTTAAACACAATTGATGCTGACCAAATTACCATCTGCCAGCTACAAAAAGGCTACCCTACTGGGATCTGCACCCATTATTCACCGATACATCACAGTCTTAGACATTTTGGAAGTGTCCGACGTTTGATCCAATACAACAGCCAGCAGAGTGGTCTTGTTTGCTGTGCACTCATCTTGTTGTGTTTCAAATAATAATATGTGAAGGAAGAGGCTTCCCTGAGAGACAACATTTAACATTTTGGGTTCCATTGTTTCAGTGAAGGGAAAGGCAACCTGAACAATAATAATTTGCATAATAATAACTTATATAATAACAATAACAATGTGCATAATAATATGTATAATAATTTGTATAATGTATAATAATAACAATACTGGGTGAAGGAAGAGACATATCCTAACCTTCCCTGAGGAGCAAAATCCTGCATTTTTGTTCCTAATTTTTTCAGTTAAGAGAAACCCAACCTGCATAATGATAATAACCTGCACAGTAATATAATAATAAATAATGAAAATAAATAAAACTTTATTGATACCCCGTTACCATTTCCCCAAGGGGCTCGGTGCGGCTTACATGAGGCCGAGCCCATAATATATCAATAAAAACAATAACAACAGTAATACAAATCAATATATAACTCATAATAAAAATAAGCAGTAAACATTAACAATAACACAACGTTTAAAAACCTATGGCTGGGCCAAATGTAATAATTAAAAATTTAAAAAATAATGCTGAGCATGACCAGGTGGGATAGAAAATTTTCGGAGAGTGATGGGGCGTGCAGACAATCCTAGATCACTACTAAAGTGCATTTAGGGACATATTGCTGGGACTTTCCTTATTCTGGGAAGGCATACTGGAACAACCATGTTTTCAGGCTCCTCCTAAAGACTGCCAGAGTTGGGGCATGCCTGATGTCCTTGGGGAGTGAGTTCCAGAGTCGAGGGGCCACCACCTGCGATGGTGGTGGGAGCGCGAGCAGGGCCTCTTCAGATGACCGAAAAGATTGTGTGGGTTTGTACACAGAAATGCGGTCACGCAGGTAGGCAGGTCCCAAACCGTTTAGGGCTTTGTAGGTAAGAACCTGCACCTTGAATTGGGACCAGAAAATTAACGGCAGCCAGTGAAGCTCTTAATATGAATATATGTACTTATTATTATTATTATTGTTCCCAATTGTTTCAGTGAAGAGAAACCCAATATGAATAACTTGCATGATAATAATATGTGAAGGAAGAGGCCTATCTTAAACTCGAGCCATGAGGAGAGGTGAAAAATATAACTATTTTTATTACCTTCCCTAAGGGGCAACATACCACATTTTTTTGTTCCCAATTATTTCAGTGAAGGGAAACCCAACCTGAATAACAATAATAAATAATAAACAACTTGAATCATAAAAGCATGCACAGTGATACGGTGTGAAGGAAGAGGCCTGTGTTCAGCTTCCCTGAGGGGCAAAATACAATTTTTTTGGGTTGTTGTGGGTTTTTTCGGGCTATATGGCCATGTTCTAAAGGCATTTTCTCCTGACGTTTCGCCTGCATCTATGGCAAGCATTCTCAGAGGTAGTGAGGTCTGTTGGAACTAGGAAAATGGGTTTATATATCTGTGGAAAGACCATGATGGGGCAAAGGACTCTTGTCTGCTGGAGCCAGGTGTGAATGTTTCAACTGATGAAGCCCCTGGTGGCGCAGTGGGTTAAACCTCTGTGCAGGCAGGACTGAAGACCAACAGGTCGCAGGTTCGAATCCGGGGAGAGGCGGATGAGCTCCCTCTATCAGCTCCAGCTCCTCATGCGGGGACATGAGAGAAGCCTCCCACAAGGATGATTATAAAAAAATCAAATCATCTGGGCATCCCCTGGGCAACGTCCTTGCAGACAGCCAATTCTCTCACACCAGAAGCAACTTGCAGTCTCTCAAGTCGCTCCTGACACGACAAAAAAAACCTGATCACCTTGATTAGCATTTGATTGCCTACCAGTGCCTGGAGCAATCCTTTGTTGAGAGGTGATTAGATGTCCTTGTTTGTTTCCTCTCTGTTGTTTTGCTGTTGTAATTTTGGATTTCAGTGGCTTCTCTGTGTAGCATATTATTTGAGAACACAGAAATGCTGGACCACTCTCACAACCACCATGTCAGACGACACAGAGAAGCCATTGAAATCCACAAGCATGTGGACAATCCCAACAGAAAGGAGGAAACCATGAAAATGAACAAAATCTGGCTACCAGTACTAACAAACTCTAAAACAGCAAAACAACAGAGAGAAAACAAACAAGGACATCTAATCACCTCTCAACAAACAAGTGCTCCAGGCACTGTCAGGCAATCAAATGCTAATCAAGGTGGTCAGTTGAACCATTCACACCTAGCTCCAGCAGACAAGAGTCCTTTGTCCCATCCTGGTCATTCCACAGATATATAAACCCATTTTCCTACTTCCAACAGACCTCACTACCTCTGAGGATGCTTGCCATAGATGCAGGTGAAACGTCAGGAGAAAATGCCTCAAGAACATGGCCATATAGCCCGAAAAACCTACAGCAACCCAATATAATCTTTGCTGGGCGCTCTTCACCCAGGGACTTCCAACTGCCACCCACTCCCCTCAACCTCCACTGATTGATTGATTGAAGAAATTTATACCCCGCCACCTTGGATTTTCTTGGTGGGTTTGTAGGTAGTTTGTATGTTGTGTTTCCTCATCAGCTTCCCTATGCGGTCAGTGGTTCCCTTGATGTCTGGCAAGAACACTTTTCCTCAAGGTGGTCAGTTGAACCATTCACACCTAGCTCCAGCAGACAAGAGTCCTTTGTCCCACCCTGGTCATTTCACAGATATATAAACTCTTTTTCCTAGTTCCAACAGACCTCACTACCTCTGAAGGAAGAACTTCCTGACTGTGAGACTGTGACACGACAAAAATAATAATAATTGTACCCATTCTGCTGCTGATAACCTAAAAATAATAGTATCTGATCTGCTGATTATTCATTATTATTAATAATAGCATCCATCCTGCTGTCCAGAGGAGGGCAACTAAAATGTTCAAGGGTCTGGAAAACAAGCCCTATGAGGAGCGGCTTAAGGAGCTGGGCATGTTTAGCCTAAAGAAGAGAAGGCTGAGAGAAGACATGATGATAGCCATGTATAAATATGTGAGAGGAAGCCACAGGGAGGAGGGAGCAAGCTTCTTTTCTGCTTCCCTGGAAACTAGGATGCAGAACAATGGCTTCAAACTACAAGAGAGGAGATTTCATCTGAATATGAGGAAGAACTTCCTGACTGTGAGAGCTGTTCAGCAGTGGAACTCGCTGCCTCGGAGTGTGGTGGAGGCTCCTTCTTTGGAAGCTTTTAAACAGAGGCTGGATGGCCATCTGTCAGGGGTGATTTGAATGCAATATTCCTGCTTCTTGGCAGGGGGTTGGACTGGATGGCCCATGAGGTCTCTTCCAACTCTTTGATTCTATGATTCTATGTAGATGCTTGCCATAGATACAGGCGAAACATCAGGAGAGAATGCCTCTAGAACATGGCCATATAGCCCGAAAAAACCTACAACAACCCAGTGATTCCGGCCATGAAAGCCTTCGACAATACAATTTTTTTTTGTTTCGCGTCGTTCCAGTGAAGGGAAACCCAGCCTGAGTCATAATAATAATAATAATAATATGTGTTATAACGTGCATAATAAGAATAACAAGAGAGCTGTGCGAAGGGAGAAGCCTGTGCTCTTCCTACTATTCCTCCTCCTGCTGGGCCTACTCGCGGCCTGACCTGCTTGAGGCGGGCGATGAGTACAGTCTTGACTCCGCCGGCGTCGAGGCTGCGCCGCTTGAGCTCGGACTTGAGGTCGATGACGCGCAGGTCCGCCACCTTCTTGCTCTCCGTGGCCGCGGCGCCGGGGGTGACGGACGAGGAGGCCGCGGAAGACGACGGCGACGAGGACGACGACGAACAAGAGGCGGCGTTGGCGGCCATTTTGCGGCCCTTCTTCGCGCACAAGGCGGCCTCGCCGGACACGCCCCCTTCCCGACGTTGACGCCCTTGCCTCCGGGAAATACCCGGATGCCAAGCACTGCGGCTGCGCACTTCGTTGCCGCCTGCCGGCCCAGAGGAAGCTAGGAAGCCATGTCTACGCATGCGCAACGAAAGAGAGCCGGGCCTTAGCCATTCCTCCTTGCTCCAGTTATGCCCCGCCCCCTACAAAGCCCCGCCCCTTTCGCTATCCCCTTGGAGTACAACAGCGACATCTATATATCTATCTATCTATCGTATTGTCGAAGGCTTTCCTGGCTGGAATCACTAGGTTCTTGTGGGTTTTTCCGGGCTATATGGCCATGTTCTAGAGGCATTCTCTCCTGACGTTTCGCCTGCATCTATGGCAAGCATCCTCAGAGGTAGTGAGGTCTGTTGGAAATAGGAAAATGGGTTTATATATCTGTGGAATGACCAGGGTGGGACAGATTATTCTGCTGAAGCTAGGTGTGAATGTTTCAGCTGACCACCTTCATTAGCATTTGAAGGCCTGGCTGAGCCTGGGAAAATGTTCTGTTGAGAGGTGTTAAGATGTGCCTGGTTGTTTCCTCTCTGCTGTTTTGCTGTTGCAATTTTAGAGTTTTTTAATACTGGTAGCCAGATTTTGTTCATTTTCATGGTCTCCTCCTTTCTGTTGAAATTGTCCACATGCTTGTGGATTTCAATGGCTTCTCTGTGTAGTCTGACATGGTGGTTGTTGGAGTGGTCCAGCATTTCTGTGTTCTCAAATAATATGCTGTGTCCAGGCTGGTTCATCAGGTGCTCTGCTATGGCTGACTTCTCTGGTTGAAGTAGTCTGCAGTGCCTTTCATGTTCCTTGATTCGTGTCTTGGCAATGCTCTATTTCTGTTTTATTGACATTCTAAAGCCTTTGACTGTGTGGATCATAATAAATTGTGGCAAGTTCTTAGTGGGATGGGCATCCCAAGCCACCTTGTCTCTCCTGAGGAATCTGTACAAGGACCAAGTAGCAACAGTCAGAACTGACCACGGAACAACAGACTGGTTCAAGATTGGGAAAGGCGTACGGCAAGGCTGCATACTCTCACCCAACCGTTTTAACTTGTATGCAGAACACATCATGCGATGTGCGGGGCTGGATGAATGCAAAGCTGGGGTGAAAATTGCTGGAAGAAACATTAACAACCTCAGATATGCAGATGACACCACTCTGATGGCCGAAAGCGAGGAGGAGCTGAGGAGCCTTCTAATCAAGGTGAAAGAAGAAAGCACAAAAGCCGGGTTGCAGCTAAACATAAAAAAAAACCAAGATTATGGCAACAAGAATGATTGACAACTGGAAAATAGAGGGAGAAAATGTGGAGGCCGTGACAGACTTTGTATTTCTAGGCGCAAAGATTACTGCAGATGCAGACTGTGGCCAGGAAATCAGAAGACGCTTACTTCTTGGGAGGAGAGCAATGTCCAGTCTCAATAAAATATTAAAGAGCAGAGACATCAGACTGACAACAAAGATCCGCCTAGTCAAAGCCATGGTATTCCCTGTAGTAACCTACGGATGTGAGAGCTGGACCTTAGGGAAGGCTGAGCGAAGGAAGAGAGATGCTTTTGAGCTGTGGTGTTGGAGGAAAGTTCTGAGAGTGCCTTGGACTGCGAGAAGATCCAACCAGTCCATCCTCCAGGAAATAAAGCCCAGCTGCTCACTGGAGGGAAGGATACTAGAGACAAGGTTGAAGTACTTTGGCCACATCATGAGGAGACAGCAAAGCCTAGAGAAGACAATTATGCTGGGGAAAGTGGAAGGCAAAAGGAAGAGGGGCCGACCAAGGGCAAGATGGATGGATGGCATCCTTGAAGTGACTGGATTGACCTTGAAGGAGCTGGGGGTGGTGACGGCCGACAGGGAGCTCTGGCGTGGGCTGGTCCATGAGGTCACGAAGAGTCGGAGACGACTGAACGAATGAACAACAACAAAAATGCTCTGTGCATAATGAGTACATTAAAAAAAAAGAACCAATGAACGAAATCACACCAAATTTGGCAACAAAACATCTCACTACACAAGGTGTGACCATCACTCAAAAAATTATGATTTTGTCATTTGAGAGTTGTAGTTGCTGGGATTTATAGTTCCCCTACAATCAAAGAGCATTCTGAACTCCACCAACGATGGAATTGGGCCAAACTTGGCACACAGAACTCCCCTAAGACAAAACACTAGAAGGGTTTGGTGGGCATTGTCCTTGGATTTTGGAGTTGTAGTTCACATACATCCAAAGATCACTGTGGACTCAAACAATCATAGAATCCTAGAGTTGGAAGAGACCTCATGGGCCATCCAGTCCAACCCCCTGCCAAGAAGCAGGAAAATTGCATTCAAAGCACCCTGACAGATGGCCATCCAGCCTCTGCTTAAAAGCCTCCAAAGAAGGAGCCTCCACCACACTCTGAGGGAGAGAGTTCCACTGCTGAACAGCTCTCACAGTCAGGAAGTTCTTCCTCATGTTCAGATGGAATCTCCTCTCTTGTAGTTTGAAGCCATTGTTCCGCTCCTAGTCTCCAAGGAAGCAGAAAACAAGCTTGCTCCCTCCTCCCTGTGCTTCCTCTCACATATTTATACATGGCTATCATATCTCCTCTCAGCCTTCTCTTCTTCAGGCTAAACATGCCCAGCTCTTTAAGCCGCTCCTCATAGGGCTTGTTCTCCAGACCCTTGATCATTTTAGTCGCCCTCCTCTGGACACATTCCAGCTTGTCAATATCTCTCTTCCATTGTGGTGCCCAGAATTGGACACAATATTATATCTCATATTGCTAATAATATTACTTAATGACATAAAAGGATATAATAAGAATATTCAAAATATTATATACAGTATTGTAAATAAGGATATATAATCTATCTTCTATATCTATATAAATAAAAATGTAATGTTCGTTTGTGGGATTAACAGAACTCAAAAACCACTGGACGAATTGACACCAAATTTGGACACAAGACACCTAACAACCCAATGTATGTCCTTCACTTTAAAAAAATGATTTTGTCATTTGGGAGTTGTAGTTGCTGGGATTTATAGTTCACCTACAATCAAAGAGCATTCTGAACCCCACCAACGATGGAATTGAACCAAACTTGGCACAGTTCTCCCATGACCAACAGAAAATACTGGAAGGGTTTGGTGGGCATTGACCTGAGTTTGGGAGTTGTAGTTCACCTACATCCAGAGAGCACTGTGGACTCAAACAATGATGGATCTGGACCAAACTTGGCACAAATATTCCATATGCCCAAATATGAACACAGCTGGAGTTTGGGGGAAATAGACCTTGACATTTGGGAGTTGTACTTACTGGGATTTATAGTTCACCTACAATCAAAGAGCATTCTGAGTTTGTTCAGGGACTTCCAAGTTGCCCATTCTTGGTTTGCCCCTGGAGGAAGACCCTCTCTCGTGGGGGGCCATCCAGTTGGGATTTCCTGGTTTAGCTGCCCAGAGGGATACCCTTGCTGTTGCTGGGGGGACGCCAAGAGGAGTGGTAGTTCTCATAAAGCTTTTCCTTGATTTGAGTCTACTGGGAGGAGGCTGGTAGCCATGCAGTGGGTGGCTTTCACAGTGTTCAACCTTATTTCTCTGACATTTAGCAGCAACTTCCTGTCGCACATGGGGGGGAGGGGGGGCAATGCCAGCTAGCTTGTCCAGTTTATCAACAGGTGTAGGTTTAAGGCATCCTGTGATTATTCTGCATGTTTCGTTCCATGCTATGTTCACCTGCTTTGCATGGGCAGACTTATGCCAAACAGGGCAGGCATACTCAGCAGTTGAGTAAGACAAGGCTAGGGCTGATGTTCTTATGCCGTAATAGAGCCAGGCGATGCACATGCGCCTCTTCGAAGGCAGCTCAGAGGAGGCAGCTGCTTTTGGGCCAAGGGTGGCTTAGTTTGCACACAATGTACACTTCCATCTCCCTTGTACCTTGCCCAGAGTCCTTCGAATAATGCCTTTGCCTTGCTTGGTAGCATGTCGTGCCTTTCTTTCTCCACAACTCCCTGCTAGCTGATGCTGTGCCTTCTTCCAGCTGCAGGAGAGATTGCTTTGAGGGATGGATAAGAAATAATAATAATAATAATTAATAATAATAATAATAATCCTTTATTTGTACCCCGCTACCATCTCCCGAAGGACTTGGTGTGGCTTACAAGAGGCCGAGGCCAAATACAACAATAAAAACAACAGCAACAACATTAACAACACCCAATGACGCAATTAAAACAATGGCTGGGCCAAATGTAATAATTAAAATTAAAAGTGCTGGGCATGACAAGGTGGGGAGTTTGGAGGGGGACGGGCATGCAGATATCCTGAATCTCTGATAAAGTGTGTTGGGACATAATGCTAGGAGTTTCCTTATTCTGGAAAGGCACACTGGAACAACCACGTTTTCAAGCTCCTCCTAAAGATTGCTAGCGACGGGGCCAGTCTGATGTCCTTAGGGAGAGAGTTCCAGAGTCGAGGGGCCACCACCGAGAAAGCCCTATCCCTCGTCCCCACCAATCGCGCTTGCGATGCCGGTGGGATCGTAAGCAGGGCCTCGCCAGATGAACAAAGAGATCATGTGGGTTCGTACACAGAGATGCTGTCACACAGGTAGGCGGGTCCCAAACCATTGAATTGCACCTTGAATTGGGACCGGAAAATGAATGGCAGCCAGTGGAGCTCCTTAAACAGGAGGGTTGACCTCTCCCTGTAAGGAGCACCAGTTAACAACCTGGCCGTCGCCCGTTGGACCAATTGGAATTTCCGGGCCGTTTTCAAGGGCAGCCCCACGTTGAGTGCATTACAGTAGTCCAAGAAAGGCACCTCCAATAATACGGTTTTGGTTAACACGAGTCCACCCATGCCATGAGTTATATCTATATATATTGCTATAAATATACAGATCTATAGAAATATATATGTAAATGAATTTTATTTCTATATATACATATACGAGGGTTGAATGAAAAGTAATGCCTCCACCTTCGTAACTCCTCAACAGATG